CTTTGACACTCTACAGGGTATCACAGATCTATTCAGCCACAGAAAGGAAGAGAAAACTTTAGTATGACTGTGAGCGGGTCACTCTGTTTCATATATCATATATGCATTATATTTTACATTAACTCTACATTGAATAAAACAGGTAAAAATATGGGAAGGCACAATTTTTTTTTGAGTCATACACTGATTCAAGGTGTGATGAATCCATGTCCCTGCAAGTTGGGCAAGATAACTAAAACCATAAGACGTACAAGAAGGTGCATCTGAGTTCCTCATATCCTTGATGAGTGCTCTAAACTTTTCTTAAAATTATAGGAAAGCTAGGCCGATACCATTAATGTTTCCTGCAGTGCTTTAAAGGAATGACTGACCCCATGCGCAATTTTCACAGAAATTAAGGAGTGGCCTAATTTTAGGAGGTGTTCCAGGCAGTTTCCCATGGAAATAAGCTATGTGCCTGCACCCCAGAAATAGAAATTAAGAGTTGCACCCTTCTTCACCATTTTCATCGCTGTCTTACATGGGTCCTTCTACAGCAGGAAGCTATTATGAATCTCATTCTGAGGCAGCAACTCCTTCCATCTACTGCACAGACACTTTTTGGCACATATTTTTGGATTTTATTCAGGAGGCCTGAGGAACTAGCCTCCAGTCCTTTCTGTACACTTGCAGCTTCTACAGAGCTCCTGAGGTTAAAAAAAAACACCATAGGCTTGGGGTGTGCGTGAAATAAGGGTAACGTAGTAAAACAGGAAATGGACTGGAGTCAACAGGAGTCATCCAGGCCATCCTCTGCTCCAGAGCAGGATCAAGAGTATCTAAACCACTCCTGACATATTTATTTTATCTGTTAAACATCAACTGAAAGAAACATGGAAATCTATGTGGTCTTAGTTATGCTGCCATGGAAAACTCCAGAAGGGGAGAAGTAGGCCCAACGCCTGAAATAATTCCTTCCTTTAACAAGATTTTATAAATGCTTTCTAAGTCACTCTGTGATGCGCACCAGCACTTACAGCTTTGAGGGTGGAGTCAATTAAAAGGTTTCCACATTCCTTAAATCTGCAGATCTTTTCAGAGAGATTACATTTTAAATGTCTTTAAGATTAACAGTAGTTTCCAAACTCAAGTTCATTTACAGTACCTCTTAAAATGTTCTGGACCACTGGATTGTAACTTTTTCTACTGGGCTCAATTTGTATATGAAAAGTTGAAATGACTGTTGAATGTTGCCCTAATGATTTGAAGCGGTAAACCAGAATGAAATAAGTCATTGTTAGATTCGCTAAATTTGATGACAAATTGTACATTTGGGGTCTTGACCTTACCTATTTGTAGCGCGGGAATCCAAGAATATATTCCATTTACTGCAATAAATTGCTGTAGTTGTCTTAGATCTGTCTTACAAAAGTATTTTACAACTTTTATTTAAGAATTTATAAGGTTTAAAATTTTTTGCCCTGTTGAAGGAATGAAAGGATCTTTTTTTCAAAACTTTGTTCAATTTCAGATGACTTCCATCAGTGCTTTCATTTTGTCATGGCTTGGAGCACACACAGCCACAGAGCTGGCTGAGGAAGGGCAGCTGCAGACTGCCTTAACCCTTTGCTTGGCAGGTGACACAAGCATTTACCACAGTGGATATTTTTAGTAAAGGGCTGCAGATCCCTCACCCCTTCTCCTCATTAGCAAACTGAACCTCAGACATTCTCGCCCGGACTAGTTCTCCTCCCATTCATAATCTGAGGCAAGAACAGCCCAATAAGCAAGTCCGATCTCTGGCAGCCTGACACTAAGAAATGTTCCTTCTGCCATTAAAGTCTCTTTTTTTGTTGTTTCAACCCTCTCCATCTATTCAACTTTGATCTTCAATTAGGACAGCAGAACTAGACACAAAGTTGCATTAGTATTCAGACCCAATAACTGATATATAAGTAAGAAAGTTTTCCTGCTTTTCTACTTCAGGTTCCTCTATTTTTTATCAAAAGATGGAGTTTGCTTTCTGGGCCACGGAACAGCAATAAAAACTTATGGTCACTGGTTATTTACTGTGACTACCAAGTTCATCTCATAATCACTGACTGCCACAACAGAGAGGTGCACCCCCTAAGCATGCATCATGCTTTGTTTCTAGCTGTGCCTTTACATTTAGAATACTTACATATCATGAAAGCTGAGTACTCAGATTGTGTTGTGTCAGTAGTCTACATAATTTTCCTGGTCCTAGCATTATCCATATAACCAATAATTTTGATTCTATCTCTTCTTCCAGGTCATTAAAAAGGGTTAGAAATGAGAGGACCATCTAGACATACCTTTTCCTCAGGGAAGATTATCCATTCACAAATACAGTCTGGAGATGTATCGAACAATTCTGAATCCACGTGCTGTTTACCATTTCTGAGTAGGTATTGCTCTACTGTCTTTAAGAATCATCCAGTAACAAGTCAAACACCTTAAGGTAGCAACAAGTCAAACACCTTAAAGTAATGTAAGTGTACTATATTGATAGTATTTTAATCAACCAACTAGGTAATTCTGCCCCCAAAGATATTAGACTGGTTCTGTTTTCCTTTAGACTGGGATTCATTGTATTTCATTACCTTAATTATTAGTCAATTCCCTTACCAGTCATACCATCACTTTATTTGGGAAATTTTATCTTAAGATTTCTTTATTTGGGAGCCTTTATCTTAAATTTTGCAATTGTAATGACAAAACATGAGAGGGAACCTCCGAGGTAGCAGTAACCATCTGCCTTCAGTTCAAAGGCAGCAGATATATTTGCCATGTTACTATACATTAATGCCTTTTTCTTAACCATTATGCAAAAGTAAACACTTAATACGCACAATCCTTTAATAATCTAATCAAGTTTGCAAGTACAAAAGCAGTAAGAAATCCATTAAGGGAAGAGACACCTATAGGTTTTCTAAGTTGTTGGTTTTTTTTTTTTCTCTGTGAACAGTTTGCACTGACAATGTTATTGGAGCATCAGAAAGTTCAGTTATTCTCTGCTTTACAAGCCATTCTGCATGGAGATAGCTTGAAATAATAAACAAAACTAAGAGTTTTCGCTGTCAGGGAATTCAATATTCCTGCCTACAACAGTTTGTGCCCATTGTATTAGATCACATTAATCTTCAGAATTTGAGAAGAATACAGAATTGCTAACTCTGGGTTCTGAGACTTATAGCAGAGACTGTCATTTACATAGAACCTCAAAAATTTCACTTGGGCTGCGTTTGCACAAAAGTCAATCTGCCTTATAGCCGAGGAACAGTACCTAAACCCTTGTAATATCTTTTAATCATTCACCCCTTAATAGTTTCCTCTGATAAATCTTCAGGCCCTTTCCATTTCTTCTATCAGCATTAAAATGACCAAGGGTAAAATTAGTGCAATATTGAGCAGACAATGTAGTGTCAATTCCCATGATGCTCTAATATTTCAATATCTTGTAACCATTTTGTCCATTTCAGAGGAATTGTATGCAATTGTGATCTCCTTTAATGTTATATCCAGAATTTTAAAAATCTCACTGAGAGGATTTGTTATTCAAAGTGGCCTCAGAGAGCTAAATTAATAGGATGTATTGGTTAAGCCAACTATAAATTATCACAGCCACTGGGATATTAGACAACTGAGTTATTCTGGAGACTGATAACATCTTTGTCCCTATGCATATGCTAGGCTAAGCTTTGCCTTGGTATCTTATAAATTAGCTGCATATCTACGAATATGTCTTGCTTTCCAGTTTTGGCGGGGGGAGGGGGTTGAGCTTAATTCTTCACAGCCATAAGGAAAAACACACTCCTTTTTTGTGACCTAAACCTGTTGAAGACCCTCGATCCTGTCATTTCTTCTGAAAACACAAAGATAGAACTGAAGTTATGCATCCTCTTGTCAGTTTCTGATTGTTCTCAAACTTTATCAGCTTGTGCTAACTTTTAAAATTTAAGTCATCATCATTTTTCAAAAGCTTCTTCTTACTGATAAGTAAAAACAAGTTAAAGCATCTCCTGTTCCCTTGTGTATTTGGGTGGTTTTTTTAAAGTATTTAAAACTGCAGCCCTTTCATTGATCCCTGGCCTAGCAGCTATATACAAAAATCCCCTCTACCTCCAACACAAAGGTATTTTGCACATGACAATCACTTCCGCCCGTGCACCTCCGAGATTTAAAAACATCGTTTTACTTCTTTGGATGCAAATACATTATAACATCACAGCCGTCCACAATTCCAGCCATCCCTGACTTTAACGGAAAGGCAGCACAGCAGCGTACGTCCTAAGCAGAACGAGGGACGCCCTTCTTCCCTGGCTCAGTACCACAACCACCAGCCGCGTAACAAGGCGGGAAAACACTCTGCCGTCAGAAACGCTTGACGAAGGCACCGGGCTGAGCCCCGCGAGAGGGCCGAGGGACAGCAGCAGCAGTGGGACACAGCCGCCTTCCCCCATGAAGGAGGCAGGCTCGGAGGTGCGCGGCCTCCAAAGTCATCTTTCCACAGCGGCCCAGAGAACGGTGCAGGGGCCCCGTTACCACACTCCCAGGGCGTATTTCTGCCTCCAAAGCCCCTCCACCCTACCTAGCTCTTCCTGCTTTCCTCAGAGCCTCAGGCCCTGAGGTGAGAGGTTGCAAAACTCTGGGTGTACAAACATGTCTTCCTGTGAGATGAGGCAGGAAGGGCCATGTCCTGTAGGGGGGGGTGTGTGTGGGGAGGCAGGGATCCCGACAGCCTCCGAAACCTGCAGGGATCCTTATTCCTCCTCACCTGAAGAAGAGGAAACACGAAAACTACACTCGTTAAGGCAAACACAACGCCAACCTTCGCCCCGCTCCTCGCCCCACCGCCTCCATGTTGCCGCCGCGCCGCCGGCACTGCGCATGCTCAGAGCCGCCGCCGCGCCGCCGGCCGCTACGAGGCGCGGGGCGGGGGCGGCCGGCGGGCGGGGGGGGGG